AAGAAGCCGATCGTGTACAAACCCTTCTCCTATGAACAATGGAGCCCATTGTTCTGGACCAGCAAAGGAAATAAAGGAATGTCCACCTTTGCTTTTCATCAATACATCCAGTAAGTATTTATGGTCTTGCTGAATATGCTTTTCTCCCGCTCAAAGCGAACAACCGCTGCTTTAGTTGACAACAGTCTCTCAAGGCTTAAACCGTAGGGCTTCTGGGAATACAGGATTAGCTAGTCTCAACTTCGAAAAAAAATTAAAGAAAAAAGCTATTGTAATGACGACATTTTTTTCGAGCTTTCTTTTGTGTTTAGTAAGGTCTTTACGTAAGAGAATCTGCTGTTAAGTAAAACAGCGGTCATTCGCTTTGAATTCGAAAATGGAGTATTGCTAACCACAACATTTCAGGGAATTTGAGAAGTACTGCTTTCATTCTCTATACCTCAAAGTTAGAGAAGTCATTAAGAGACTATTTGATGATTTTTAGATTGCAAAAGTCCCTTAGGAATGGAAGATGGAACCATTAAAGATTTCCAGATCACTGCTTCATCCTATGCTGGGCCTATTGATCATAGAGAMTACCCGAAAGCCAACGCTCCATACAATGGAAGACTCAATCATAAAGCGTCACAAACGTCCAACGGCGGCTGGGCTGCAGCTGAAAAGAAAACAGGTGAATACATCCAGGTTGACCTTGGCAGCGTCAAGGTCATTACCATGGTAGCCACTCAAGGAAGATCACATGCTTGTTGTAGGCAGTATGTGACTAAGTACTCGCTGTCGTACAGCGTTGATAACACAACATGGAAAGACTACCTTGGGGACTGCATCAAGGTGATATATACAAACGAGCGCAGACAAGAAGTAGACGGGGGAGGTGGAGGAAAGGGGACGGGGAAGCGGAGAAGGATAAGTGGCTGATAAGAAAAGAGAATGGGTTTCACGATTAGCCCATTAATCTAATACTCCATGTTACAGTTCCAAGCGCCATCTTGAAAGGCAACCAAGCATTTGCATCAAACTGAGACAGGAGTTGAGCCTGCAGTGATAGACACCTTTTACTCACACCTAAGACAATTATTCACTGGTATTTATCATTGCTGGCTCAACTTCTGTCTAGCTTTTATGCAAAGGCTTGSTTACATTTCAATATGGCGCTTGGAACTGTAAAATGGAGTGCTGCACTCGATCTTAGACCCAGGTTCAGACGTCGATCTTTCGCTGCGTTKAATCTAATTGCTAATTATGTCTTTCGCAAAGAGTTCGCATACTAAATTAATGCACATTTACAGATTACAATAAGTTCGTCCAACTGGACAAAATCTACTTATTATGTCAATAAATTCAGAGAATGAAATGCTCATWAACTCAACTCCAGTTATAAGATTAGACGGGACAAAGGATCGTCTCAAAATGCGATTTGCACTGCTAAAAAAATAGGGTAAACACTAGAGTGATCGCACTTAAACCGTTCAACTGTACAAAATCTAACTGGAAGAATTACTAATGTGTACTAAAAGTGGACCTGAAGCAAGACAGAAATTGAATGATTCATWTGTATCAATTCAATTTAATTTGCGTACCGCATGCATGATTTACTAAATATAACTAATTAGCACTRTTTAGCTTGTACAGTTGCACAGTTTAAGTGCGATCACTCTACTATTCGATGCATTTTTGGTTATCTAATTTTTTTTTAAGTAAGAATATTATTATTTGCAGGAATTTCCTGGTAATAAGGATAAAGAGAGCATCGTCCTTAACAAGCTTGAAGTACCAATCAGATCACAATATATTCGACTGATTGCGAAAGGATTCCTTGACCATCCTTCATTGCGAATGGAGTTGTATGGCTGTTCCAACCTAAACGGAGTCGTGTGAACGTTTTTTGATCTTTTTTGAACACTGAGGCACCCTTGAGTCATACCCGAAACAATTCCGATTTCATATCGATTTCGTCACAATGACAATGATTGCACATCCGACTGCAGAATTCAAATATGTGAATCAATGGCATGCATGTAACGATAAAAAAAGAAAGAAAAAATTAAAGTAGCCAGTTATGTCAGAATGTTGCCCGAAGGTTTTGCAAACCATTACCTCAATGAATCATGACCGTAGCATTGAAACAACGAAGGTTTTACGATCGAATCAAGTGCCCGAAGATCTTGCGAATCATGCCAATAGTTTTACTTATAAATCACCCCTGAGTGACACTGGTGAAAAACGCACTGCGCATGTCCACAGCTTTCCCGCTGAAATCTGCCTAATTTCCTTTGTAAAGCGATTTTTGTGAAAGTTTTTTTTACAATTTATAAGCTCGTTCACTGCCGATATATAAGATTCATATTTCCATCAATCATTGTCCTTTTAGTATGTAGTTTCTATCTTTATCTTGTCATTTTCTATTTTGAGAAAATGAGGTTTTTCGTAGTGTTTTCTGTGTTGTCGCTGTAAATCGCCAGGCGCTCTGTTTACAGATTTCAAGACGCGAGCGCCCACTGGCGGGAAAGCTGTGGGCATGCGCAGTGCGTTTTTCACCAGTTTTTCCCTGGGTGGGTATTGCGTAAAGTTCGCTATAAATTGTGATATCATGTTGTCAATCTAATCATAGTTAATTATCATAGTAACTATGACTTGATTTTCCAAAAATAAGGAAAGAAAATCTTATGTTTTTTTTTCAGCTTTGTATAATTACTAGCATTGCTTTGACAAATAATCGTTTTCAGATTGTTCTCAATCTTTTCAGACAGTATAGATGACGTTCGCGAAACGAACCCTCAGTGCATACAGGGTTAACTTGAGTAAAAGGAATGTAAACTCTCAAATATATGATCGTTTAAACGGTCCCATTTTTTGCAAAGCTCTAAGGCCCGTTTACACTGGCCATTTTTAGGGTTATTTTCAGTCTAGTAAATAATCATTGAATAATTAACTTTTTTATTAAAGTCTATATTCAGTACATTGAGGTGAGCTAACTAAACGTCTATTCACAAGGAGAGACAGATCCATAATAAAATAGTCTAAAAAATGTCCACAAAAGAAAACTTCCCGCAGCAGAAATCGGCATTTACGAAGCGCTCTGTTTGGGCGTATGCACCATAAGTCATAAAACTTTCGGCTTATTTTATAATAAATTGCTCTTTGTAATTCATCCATTATTTTCTGTAATAATAACCATCATTATCAACAAGGGATTAATATACCTTTATTACTCAATGTTTTTGAAGAAGCCGCGAGAATAATGACTTAATTCGATGACAATGGTAATAATATTTTATAGCTATGACAGCTTATCTTGTAAGCATTTAGCACCTTTCCCACATCGGTAATTAACAGGTTAAACAATTATGACGAAACACAAATAAAATCTACGCGGTTCAGCTCAAAAGAGACCGTTTGTTGATCGTCTGGAATAATGTGGTTAGCTCATAGACCTTTTCTAGTCATTTGGACGCTTTTKGGGACATCATGAAGTTGGAAAGGGCGATTTCGCCGATTGTTCGTGGACGCAAAGTTAGCAGGTTAAAAAAGAGCCGGAAAACATGTAAGTTATAATACGATTATTCGAAATGTTTACTGGGTATCTGATCTTTATTCTATTTGAATGAACAATCGTYTTCTGAATATGATTGAAAACTCAGTAATACTGAGATCATGAAGTATGACCTAGCGCCGGAATATCGACGCGAGAGCTCTGCACTTTGTATCAGATACCCGACAGTCCGCGACGGAGTTTTACCGGCATTGACCTTGATCTAAAAGACTTGTGTGAGCCAAGAAACGAAACCGACCTATTTTTTAAAACTGAATATTTTATAAAATAACTATGATAAAACATGTGCATTAATTGCTTGAAATTTCGAAAAAAAAAAAAACGGTTTTCTATGAGAGCATGGTGGGATACAAGAATTTCTCAAATAAAGCGTTATAGTTTTTTGGCCATAAGCTTCCGGTAAATTAGTATTGTTTCTTTTTCCCTCGATGGCGTTGTCCGAAGTTTTGTTCCGGTTTAATGTTGCTTGACCATTTSTGATCACGAAAAAGTTACTTTTTGTGGCAACATGTCGGTACCTGTAGGAGCAGCCACTATGTCAATTACGTGCATGTCCGACCTTWACATACTGAGCATTAATTTAAACTTGCAATGGCGAATTGACTTTAATTTTTTATGTTTTTACCTGGCTTACTCAGTTCGCCGAGTTATTCTGTTTGAGCAACGAATCCAGTTTAATATTATATTAAGTTAATATTATCCAGTTTAAAATGATACATAAGTGAACAAGCTGATAAGCCATAGTTAATAGAGGGGACTATGCATAAACGAACTTTCAAAATCACTGGAAAAATCGCGCGCCATAAAGGTTGTAAATTTTGATGTAAATATGATGTAAGTGTCCAAAATGATGTAAATTTGATGTAAATCATTTCCATCAAATTTACATCATTTTGGACACTTACATCATATTTACATCAAATTTACAACCTTTGTGGCGCGCGATTTTTTCCAGTGAATCTCTGAGCTGAAACCTTGTCTTTTTTTACGCGGAGTAGAAAATGTAACGCTGTTTTTTGCCTGACACGGTGTCATTTATAACGTAAAACACAAGATTAAGAACTAGGATTCAGTTGCAGCTTGGACCGAATACATTACGTGGTCCGAGCAAAAAAAAAAAAAAAATTAATCAAGAAACGGGGATTCACCATAACAAGGTTGAAAAAGGTGAACGTCTCGGTGTGACGCTGGCTAGAAATCGTAAAGGTTCTGAATTTCTAGAATACTACAATGTCTATCAATTYGCATTTTATAAAATTTTCAAAATATCAAGTTAATAAATTGAATTTTCAAATCTTTTCTCCTTCGCGAGTCCTTTCTGTTCTTTTTCCACTTTGGATAGAACTATTTCAATGTCCCATGAAAATGTCGTACAACGAAAAACTGAACGTGTGACTGAGCGTCACCCGATGACGTCATCATCTAGGTCTTTAGTCCAACACGGCATTCAAATACCTAAAATACCAAGGAAGCATTTCTCWKCATTGCCACTTGATTYTCATCAGTTGTATTGAAAGCTTTCGCTTTCCCTTATATCCGGCATGTGCAAAGGATTAACRACATGCTATCCATATTTCAAGAGTCAAGTCAGATATTCTATTTCTCTCAAAATCTTGTAGCTATGTTTAGTAACACTCGAGAAATGCTGCCATGGGTCGGTGGATATGACKTCGGAAGTGAAATATGCTTGAGTTTACATTTAGACTTGATAGGCGTAATTGATAAGTCAATCATCCTGTGTCAATCATTTCTAGATAGTGTAGCATGCTGCATCATAATAACTTCACAGTGAATTATTCCGCGATTTCGTATCTTTGAGGATGAAATATTCTTTCTATTCGTGAAAAGTATTACTAAAATCCGAAGCCCGGTTTTACAAAGAGTTGGTGATTAAAACTCTAGACCCGCTCAAAWGTCGTTAAATATATTTGACCTTAGATGTTGTTTAACGATTGCTAATATACTCTCTTAATTTGTGCCATAGCAAAGCCAATATAAGCTAATATACTTTCTGGCTAATCATTTTCCCGATATTTWGCTTGTATAGTCGTGATGATTATCAATTCTGTATGTCAATCAATAGTCAAGTTTATATGRTATAAAAGTATACAACGCTCTTATTCGACAGCTATTTATTTTTTGCCTCCATTAAGCAAATGAACATGTAGTTTTGCACATGTCACATTAAAAATGTATATTAAACTTGTTTTACATAAACATATACTTTTAAAAAATTATTATGTAACTTAAAATACTTGATTGGCAAACTAAGATTTGCCCCAGATATGCTCATTCAAACGTAAACGCTCTATATTTATATTTGTTTCAAGCTTTATATGTTTGTAAAACTTTAGTATGTGTTTCCAATCAGTTCTATATCAGTTCTCTATGTTTGTAGAGGCCCTTTGTAATCTCTCATTACAGTCGCTTGGTATATTACAGATTGTGTTTTTAAAAAAGAAAACAAATCTGATWCAYAATAGATATAAATATTTTAAGTCGACCWCCACGTCAAGAGAAATTGCTTCTCAAATTTCAAAATACCAGCGACCTTTAGCWGCWTTTAAAAGTATTTACAATACAAATCAAAACTCTGCTCGATTATGATAATATTTCTTCGTATTTACCTATCGMCCCTTGTTGTCAATCCTTTGTTGCAATRTAGAAACACAACTACAGTTTACATCAAGTTAATTGATTAACTAAGCCGATTGTGCAGTCGACCAATCACCGTAAAGCGCTAACAGAGGTCTAAGCGAGAAGTGATGAGGGTATGACATATCCTTTGTGCCGAACATAAAATAACAATACGTCGGGATCTAAGACTGAGTATAATGAATTGACGTACAAGAACGGGGCTGGAATAACCGTAGTTTGACACTTATAATAGGGCTTAGTTTTCTGTGAACAATTATCCAAGTTTATTGGGTTATTACATGATCTTAGTGCTCCGCGTGGACGGGCTACGATACGAACGGGCCTGTAATTGCGCTCTTGAGGTTTTCACTTGTGTACATTCCAATGGCCGTTGTGATGGCTTAGCTTTTGTCGTGGTAGACTTGATAATGTAGGTTAGAGCTGAGAGAATTATGAAAGTTGTATTAATATCAGGCTTGAGGAAGTATGAGCGCTGAGCAAATCTTCCAGAGTCTAAGCCATAAACAACGAATCCAAGGTAAACGATGTTAGTGCAAAATGATCTGCTATCTCCTCTCTTTAATGCTCTATTATAGCATTGATGATACCTTAATTTCTTACTTTGCTCTTTATAGTGCTAGATCTGACTCTACCTGGGATTGAAGCATTTCTCAAGGATGTGCTTGCGAAGGAGAACCTKAGCGAAGAAGGAGAGAATCTAAGATGTCGGTATTTAGAAATACTTCAAGATTCTACACACAGTTTTCTTGATGATARCAGCGAATCTAGTCCTCTAAGAACTCCTGATATCAAAGAATCTTTATTTCCATTCAAAGATGGCAATCGAATTGATACACTTGAAGGACACACTATCCCGGGCCACGCGTTGAGAGTCGATTCAGAAAAGGTATTTACCCTTTCATATTAGTTACCATATATAAATATTATCAATTTTAATTCAAAGMGAATTCGATATAAGTTTATAAACATTTCACTAAGAAACTGAAATTCCTTTGAACAAAGTACTCAACCAAGAGTGGAATCTCCCGGGGCGAACTCTACTGTAGTTGCTCACAGACAACGTTGATTGCACAGCTCGCGCGCTCTCTTAAACATTTTTCARAWYMAAAWTTKTTCTTTGCTATWTCCTGATCTCCCCYTTTGTCCTACTGTTCTAACAATTTTAGCTTCCTGTTATAACGTAACTTATAATAATCTATGGGAATGCCTTCAGCGGGATTCATGGCGCTCAWATAASTTGTTTTTGTCGGATTAAATTCCACATTGCAGTCAACATGAGCGTAGACTTTCGATGCGTGAGGTGCTTTCGAAGCACTTGTGGGCTTACAATGTCTAATTAGAAATAAGTGCAATCACATTGAACTTTCTTTCTCTAGGACAGTTCTTGCACGCTATGGCTTGCGCACGGACGTTTTGCTAGACGGATAAATCTCTCSGTAAACATAAACTCTAGATCTTAATTCGATTAAACCTACACATATTAAACATTGCAGTAATGCGGAAAAGTTTCATTAAAACTTGAGAAAAATCTTGMGTTTTTGTTTTAAAAATGRCCYAATTCTTTRATAATTATGATATRTATTGCAAACTAGTTGAWTTTTTTTCTAGYTTTTGAAATATTTTGTACATTCTTTGGACTTTTTGTTTAATATTAATTCAAGTTATAAACATTAATCTTTTTCTCTTAAGTCTTACCTATGGGTTTAAGCCTTGYTTTGACCGCGTTTCGGAATATGGTAACCGTTTAGTAAGGTTATTTGGATATTTATTACATTTATTGTATTGCCATCAAATTGTGATTATCATCAAATAAGCTGAAAATGATGATGCTGATGATAATAATTATTGCTTTCATTATATATTAATCACTGTAATTATCGTTTCGTTGATGAAAATKATGATTGTAATTAATACAAATATAATATGTCTTGTAATTAAGATGTAAAATGTATATGTATAATTGACTGCATAAATGTTTGTGATAAAGAGTGTTTATACTTCGCAGTTATAGAAAAAAAATAGAAGCATCTGCCCAAAACATGAATGATAATAATGTACTAGCATAAAGTGATACGATTACAACGCAAACCTTGTGTTGTAAAGATAAGAGAATTAGCACTGACTACAAACAGCCACTAAGTTCACAATTTGTCTTAGCTCATCATCTTAGCTTCTGATGCAATTAGCCCAGTTAAGTCAGTGCTAAATGATTTTATATTTATATTTTGATCTCGCGAATTTGTTCTGCTATTTGAGGTGATTGTTTTAATATCTGTATAAGTCTGATCCTAGTATCGCGAAGGAAAATGATAAAGACGATGATGATGATTAATTCAATATCATTACAAGTTTTTCGATCTTTAATTTTTGACGACAAATTATGCTGAATATATTACTTGCTAGTGCTATCTAGTCATGTTTTGCATGTAGGAGGTTATGAAAATATAAAAAACGGGTTAAAACCTACAAAAACTAATACTAAATAGACTCAAAGCTCCCAAATATGAAAAAAATGAAGACAAAATGAACAAAATCGTGCCCCGTGAAAAAATTGCGGAAATTCATGAAATATCGAATAACATTGTACAATTTTGCTATTAAATTCCTGTTGATAAGGTATCTCTATTTAACTACATTGGGGGCTTGAATCAGTTAATCTTTTTCCCAGGTGACTCTGAAATAAAACCCCCGAGTACCTTTTAGGGTCCTGAGCTGACTCCGYACCTTTTAGGGTCGATTTCGAAACAGTGGAAACAAAAAATTGAAGTGTCATAAAGAAATAGATTTTATTAACCTCAACAATCTATCGACATTGATTTTTACAGTTTCTTTTTAAACTTGAGCTTTTCTCTCGTTAAAGGCGTCAGAAATGGTCGTATCGTCGTTTTAGGGTCTGGAATTAATACCTGAATTTATTGATGCATTTTTCAGTCCGTCCGTCGAGCATACCTACCAACTTTTATAAAGGGGGTCCCCCCCCTTCCCACCCCACCCCCCCGGGCTGCTATGTCGGCATATAACCTCAAAGAAAATAAACTTTACTACTACAACCAGAACATGGCGAAGGAAATCTCTAAAACTAAATTCTTAAGATTCTAAATAAAATATGAGTTTAAAAGTAAAACAGTTTTACAAGTCTTAGAAGTTATTAAGTGAAAAACACTTAGCCTAGACTTCTATTCCGTTCCGGTTTGCTATTGGGCTGGGTACTGGCATGCAGTAATCTAGCCTTCTAAGATGACAAGCATGCATTCGCATCTTAGTTAATCCGCCTATCTGTTACAGTACGACGCTAAAAAATGTCTGAATATTTTGTATATATTTGAGCCGACTTTCTTCAAGTCTTCAAGAAGACATACCGATCATATTCAAAATAGATTTGTATAGGAACTACTACCATTCTAGAACCTAGTTTCTAAAAAAATACCGCCCGTATTTGATGAAAGTGGCTTTAAATGACACCACGAGTGCGATACACGAATGGCACCGAAAATTAGTTTCAAGATACGAAAATAGAACTGCTAAGCTACATAAATGTTTAAATGACAAAAAAAATATTGCTAGTTTTGCATGAAGAGTGCGAGTAACTTTTGACTTTCATATTAGTGTATATAATGAAAGCTTCATTGTTTGTTGGCCAATCAGAAACGATTATTGGGCCGGTTGGAATGTTATGATTATCTGAACGTAATGATAATTTAATCAAATATATTTAATAACAATTATTTTGTACATTATAAGGTACAGTAAAATTATTTAAAATTAGATAGCTCCTTGGAACGCCTCATTATGTAGCCACATGCTTATTTGGGCGCCTTGCTTTCTTGCAATGTGATTAGCTGAGATGGACTCCGGACGCGCGGGAACCCTGTGCAGAAGCTCCATGCTCAAACGCAGATGCTTTTCCAATAACACAATTTTCATTAAAGAAAATGACACATATTTATCATGTCCATTTTTCAAAGAATAACATGCCAAAACCATTCCTTAATGGTGTTTAGTATTTCGGATACTAAAACAGTGCAAGGTCAATGATATAATCGGGATAATCTAAAAATTATTATTGTAAGAAACGTCTAAACAACCATACCATCTTATCGAAAGGGATTTGAGRCATTTGGGAATCAAAAGATCATTTGTGAAGTATAGAGTTCTGTTTACTCTTCAAAGTGTCGAGACGTACAATTAAATAGTCTTCTTCGCTCTCCTCATCTTGAAAGGTAGCCGTGYCTTTGCTTCGAAGCGAGAYGACCGTTGAGCGTGCAATGATAGGAACTTTCTTTCACACCTACAGACAATTATTCACAGGTTTCTATCACTGTACACTCAACGGTCGTCTCGATGCAAAGGCACGGCTTTACAAGATGGCGCAAAKAAAGGGGACTACTTGGAAATGACCCTGACATTTCTGTGTTAACTGTACTGTGTGAAACGGTTTGTTCACCCACTACAAAATCGTCCCTTATAAAAGTGCATTATCATAGAGACCATGAAAAGGTAAAAAAAAAAGGAAACAAAATAAAGAAAAAAAAAAGATTCAGTCGAGATAGGATCATTTGCCTGCACATGGCTCGCCTATCAGTTTTCGAAAAACACTAATCAACTTCGTTTCCGTAAAGATATACTGCATATGTATGTTTGATAAGAACGAATTCTCATCACTCAGCACCTTGAGTGGTTTTGYACAATTGTTATTGTACAATTCAACCACACTTGAAATTCTAGTAGAYATTTGATCTCAGACAGTAYCCACAACTGTGAATCGACGGCGCTCCTCCGAATCCACTTTTATCCGACCAGACTAAGGTCCACAATAGACGTCTCTATATTTCCCTGCAACATCTTGAAATGTAACGGTGCCTTTGGATACTGAAAGTCGAGACGACTAATTGTGAGCTTGAAAGGGAAAATTATTCGCAGGTGTTTATTATTGTAACCACACCGGTCGTCTCGCTATAGTGTGAAGGAGGTATGGTTACCATTCAAGATGGCGGACGGAAATGTGATGGAGACTACTGCGCATGTGTCACTGTTCCGACAGAGCACGGATATTTGTAAAATTTAAAATTTTTGTAAAATTGTAACTTATAGCTTAGACCTTAAAGCAAATTTTTTTTATGTAAATGAATGGCATTGTTAAATACTGAATGAGAGACCACGTGATGTAATAGCTGTAACCACGCCGCCATATTGATTTGTACGTTGTTCCAAAATTGCGAAAGAAATGTTTGAACGTGTTTTGTTTCTCCCCGGCAGCAATATCTACATAGCAGCTAGTTTAAAATTAAAAGAGATATAGCTCAAAGTCGCCTCTTTCAAGGCAATGGACTTCGAATGCCCACAAACCTGATTCCCAGAGTAGCGASCACATTATCTCCTAAGGCACTATACTCCCAAACTATTGTATAACAGTGGGAATTTTCACTCTCTACCAATAAGACTATAACGACACAAATGGTTATTAAAGGGACATGGTCCACCAGCATTCAATGCGGTCGTGTTTTAGATTTTTCATATATGAAAAATGAGGTGAGCTTCAAATATCCATTCACAATCCGTTTCCATCCATCCGTTTAAAGGTCGAATCATACAGTATCTCCATTTATATAGGATAAAGGAATAATAAAGAGCAAGTTTTTGCTTAGTATGTCACGATGTTTTTTTTATTTCCAAACAAGAGCAAAACTTTCCAAAGGGATGCTGGTGGACCATGTCCCTTTAGCAATTATCTTCATTAACGAGCTCGTCTTAGGAACACGTTTTTCTCTATTTCAACAAATTAAGATTAATGAGATCAAGCAGGTCTACTATTGTGAACTTTCAGAAATAATTAGGTAAAGACTGTGTTGACTGAAAATTAAAATCTTGAGCCTTTTATAAGCATGGAAGAATTTTATCACAGCTTTGTTGACTGATTTGCGGTTTTCGAAATTGTCTGCTGTCTGTAGTTTAGCCATTTCTGTAATAAGACCTCGACCGCACTGATATTCTTAGTTTTCGGAGCGGTTTATAGACTGGTTTTCTTAAGCCCATGAGACAGAGTGTAAAAGTCAAAGTGTTATAATGAGGGAAATTGCGAAAAGATAAAGCAAAACCTGCAGTTTAGTGATGAACTTTGCTATACGCTACGGTATATAGTGCAGTCAAAAAATAAAAATATAAAAAAAAACAAGCAAACAAATACAACAACAAAACAACAACAACAACCAAATATAACGAAAAATTGTGAAATAGATATTACATTAATACACCTTGGTTAGTACGCTTTGATTGCATTGTTTTCTTTTGTGTCTAGAGTGAAGTCATTTATAAACCCGTGAAACAAAGTTTGAGCATTAAAGTGTGATTATCAAATAGAAACACAAGAAAACAATGCGATTACAGCTTACAAAGCTATATTAGTGTGATATCTATTTCACGGATTTTTAACTTCACTCTGTATTTAACTATATATCACACTTATTTAAGTTTTGYTTCACGGGATAAGCGTAAAATCATRAACTATAAACATAATTTGATTATTAAAGTGTGACAATTTTTGTAGCTGATTTTCTTTACAACGCCTTRAACGTGAAATTCTGCGATGAGATCGGTGCCCACATACATGCACAAGCTTTGCTGTATAACTTTACCATCTGCACGCCGTCCGACGTTTAACTTCACATTAAATCAGATACCAACCGTCCGTACAACTAATCCTTTGCTTCAGGCAAATAATTTGGATTACTCCAATGGATTATAAACTGAATATCGCGATTAAAAGTAAATCCAGTAGTGAAGTTATGAAGATATGTAGATACGAAGTCATATGCAGTGAATTACTGAGAATTCGATGGGAAACTACGTTTTGTATTGCCTAGGGCTTGGTTGCTCGTAGATAAAGTTATCTATACCTTAATTCTGTATTGATTTCTTCCGCTTGTATTCATCCAATAAAAAGCGCTCTTCGCTCTTCTTGAAGCCAGCACTATGTTGTCCGTGTTTCATATGTTGAAAAACTTAACTTCAAAAGGATCATATTGAATTATTTTCTATGAAGTTTATTGTCCATACAATCATCCCAAAAAACCTTTTGCATTAAATGGTCACATGGTACCAAGACTCTGTTTAGATGAGATAGGGTGCCCCTACGCGGTAGGGCTAACTCTTTTGTTTTCTTTTCCCTGGAGGATTGAAAAGAAAGGATTTTGGCCCTACCACTAGGGGCACCCTATCCCATGTAAACAGGACCTAAATTCGCCATACCGGATGTAAAAATACCCACTGGGATGTTTACAACGAAGTAAAGTCAGCTTGACGGGATGCGTTCCTTTTGATTTTTAGGTTGTTTACATTTAGTTAACAACCAGTATGGCGGATTTAGTACCATGTGACCGTTTCATGCAAAAGGACCATCGATTCAAAATCCGTTTTGAAATTGTTAACTCAGTCGAGGAAACCAGAACGATTAAAAACGTATTAAAAACGATTAAAAGCGTTTTTGGGCGATGGGGACGATCAGGACGAATATATAGGACACTCGACATAAAGGATGGTACTTGATGTTGTTTCTAACATGGAAGTGTCTATAACTGGTGAATGCAACAATTAATTGTCCGTTCTGGTTTTAAAAAGAAAGGCTTGTGTGGTGTTGTAGGGCTGACGGTATCCTATGTCCAGAGAAAGATTCGTCTCGGTATCCACATGACTTTGGAATATTTTCAAATGCATGGAGATACATATTGATCACACATGTGTCCCAAAAACAATAATAAAATGAAAAGAATTAAAAAAAAATAAAAAAAAATAAGCAAAAAACAACAACAACAACAACAGTAAAGGAGAATTCCTGTTAAAGGAGGCGTGTTGGGTATTTTTTTTACCATTTTGCGAAGAATCCGGGTCCCAATTAGGTTTCTGTTAGGAAACAAGAAGAATGAAAACCAAATCAGTGGAATTTAATTCTGTTCTGTCGACAATGTATGGTAATAAGAACTTAAGCTTTCAAGGATTCTTCTAGAATTATTGTGTTCTTAAGTTTCTACAGAAATAGYAYTTTCCAAGGCGGGAAAATTTGTCTGTTTTGACTTATCAGCTTACAGCTTACTTCCGATCGTGCTAAATAGCATGAAAATACTTTCTCTGACTTTTATTCTAAAAAAAACACTATATCTTACTTATTTTACCAATTAATTCAATATCCTTGATTAGTTATCTATTATTTTCTTATCTGACTTAAACGTTTCCATTGACACGAGATATTGTTTCCGGGACTCGCTGTGGACCTGGTCCCAACTTGTGTTGTAACGAGKCASTCATTGGGGTCACGCATTGACTCGGTATTCATTGATATCGTGAGAAAAAGATAACTCGACATAACTTATCAGAGAAATGCGTGGAACAGTTTAGCAGGCCAAAGTGTGTACAGTTATGCTGAATCCAACTATGTCGTGGTTTCTAGGGTGTTTAAGTAGTTCTGCATCTGCGAGCTCTGTAAGTTTGACCACAGATTTTTGCGTGTCTAAAAGGTTAAACGTCTTGTCTACTGTATTCAATTCAAATGACTGCAACATTGAATATTTTTTGTGTGGATTGATGTGCTAGTTCTTCCAATGGAATATTTTGTCTGTATTCTTGTAACTTACTGGATTTGGTTAGTTATTTCACATACACATGCGTTGTCGCTTGCTTGACAACATTACTGGAAGCAAGGGAGATACGCACTATTAATGACAAACTAATGTAGTTGCAGATATTTAGTTTCAAATTCAAATAAACTAAATATAATTCAAAAGAAATTTAATTTTGTATTGCAGAATATGATCTAACTAACTTTTCAATGTGCAAAGCATATCAATGATTCAAATTGCTTCATTATTTTTTACCGACAGTAGTACAATAATTTGTTTACAAGTAAAGAAAAGTAGCACAATTTTTAAGTTAGATTTCGTGTCCTCTATTTTTCTTTGCGATAATGTTTATTTAGCACCAGCGTCAKATGCGCAAAGAAAATATGAGTATTTCTTCTTTCTCGTTCACGTGAAAGTCCAAGTAAAAAAATGTATATCATCTTTAAACGATGCTTTTGCGTAKATTGTGAATTTAGCGCGGCGGAATTTAACGCAGTAGTAGTCATACGTACAATAGATTTCTAATCGTTCGAATCATCGCAMATTGATTGACAGCTATTTCTGGAATTTGATAGCCACTTTAATTTGATTGGTTATTTTGTATGTTCTTGGTGTGTGGCGTTTTGTTTGYTTGGTTTCGAGTGTCGTGAAGTAGTTTGACACGAACGAACACGAGTGAACTCAAGTGAGGACAGAGAAAAAACAAAGGCCCTTACAATTTTCCAAAAAGTAGGAGGGTGGAGTGGGGATCATTTAGACYCTTGACCCAACCTTTGTAAAGACCGATGTTGCACGCAATCTTGTCATTTCTTTTCGCGTGTTTGAAGTTACATTAGAATCACGAACGCATAAGCGATAATCACGCTTATCCGTTCCAGGYACTTGTTTTTTTGGTAATCCATTTAGCGTTATCACGAATATTTCTATGTCTTGATAAACGTCATTGAATTGCTAAATCCGAGATRGCCGTGAGAATAATTTCACGTTAAGAATTAAACCCAAAATGGCATTCTCTATCAAACTGTATTTCCAATGCTGCCTTGGATGTATACAAATACTCCGAATTGACAAAATGTTTTTTTGAGTTCAAATTGGCTGCATCTTCTAAGATGGACGAATGAGTATTTGGTAATGCATAAGCACAGTCTAAAACACTGTCCAAAACCCATTTGCAATTACAATCTGTTCATGTGCAAGCTCGATTTTTTTATGTTCACGATATGATTTGAGCACATCATGGAGCCATCTTATTGTTATCCCGAAGCAAGCTAAGAACCAACAGCGCTGGACAAAAATAAATAAGAAAAATATTGATTTGTCTTTCTAATACTGGAATTCTTACCCTCGTGTAGCACTCAAGATGCATTCATAATCGTGTCACATGTAACATCGAAATCAATGGTTTAGGGAACTTATTCTTAGACTTAGAAATTAGTCAATATGCTGGGGGGGAGGGGTCATCATATATTTTGACTAACGTTGTAGTTCGTAAACACCTTGCCAGTCATGTCTTATGTGTTTGTTGACCATATATCAACACCTGTCTGTGTGTTATTGCGTCATTATATGAAAAGCCTACGTCACTTCCGGACTTCTTATGTGTGATTTGATCTGATTTAAAAATGTCAGGTATTTTAGCCGCCATCTTGGAGCATCTAAATATAGCTAGTGGAGAAAACCATGTTGAATTTATTATTGATATTTTTGTAAATCGTAGTCTAACGGTTTTCCATTCGTTTCAGTCTCCAGCTCGCTCCAGGAGTTCTCGTAAGGGGACTGACAGCACTGAAGAAAGTGGAGTTTTCTTTCGAACCCAGTACCTCCCGTCCGTTAGCTCCGAAAGTCAAGATGCTCCTAATCATCGGAATTCAGATACATTTGAATCGACATCTTCAAGAGATACTTTTATGTCCGATTCTGAGGTAGAATTCCTTGAATGGGATACAGATTTAATGGAAGATGGCTATTCGACGGGAGATAACATGGAGCCTCCCAATATTGACCTACARCCAAATGAACTGGGGGAAATATATGCTGGTATATTGTACATTAGGGAGCAACCAGGTTGGCACAAGCGTTGGTTTGTGCTCACGGAAACCTGCCTCARATGTTATARATATAAAAGAGATGACAAAATGCTGTTTGAAATTCCACTCCGTGACGCAAGGTTTGTCACTACGGATCGTAAACGGAGTAGAATGTATGCGATGACATTGTCCATAGCAAGGCTTAAAGATGATATAACCTTTGCTACGACGGATGAAAAGTCACGACACGAATGGGTTTATGTCATTAATCACGTAACGCAAAAGTTAGCTTCAGAAGAAAGTTGCTCTGCGAGCTCAGAGTCAAATATAAACAAAGCGAACGAACTTCCAAATAAAGATTCTCGGGATAATTCAGATTTTGTAAACAGAAGAACGTGGCCGCTTGAAGGTGACAAGAACATGGATGTCGCATTGGGCCAGTTAMGACTAGATGGCGAAGAAGAAGCGACCGACTTGGATACTACATTGTGTCCTTCCCTCGCTCAAGAGGAGTCTTTTAAAGAACTTCAAGAGGTAGAGGTTGAACTTTTCAAGCRATTGTTCTATTATTATATAAAGCAAGTTTTTAACGCGARACGTGATTGGTGGAAATGAGAGTTGCACATTMMCCATATCGACTGATTTTCCAGACTTTAATTCAGTGTTGAAGGAAATGYATTTTAAGTTCGTTTCACTATTTTATACAGCGGGGAAGAACTTACAGTACTGCTCTCTAGCGTGGTTATTAAAGAATTTTAGCATTATATTATCATTTAATATAGACACCAATATKCAGAAATTATGATCATTTTGACTAATATTCCAAATATATAAAAAAATAACTCATAAATTATGGGATATCGTCGCTGATATTTTTTGAAGTTGCCTAGTACAAACATTATRCGAAAAAAATATAGCGATGATATTCCATAGTTTCTGATATAACTTATATATGACTTAAAATACGAAAAGAAATAATTATGATTTCTGCATTGTATTGTTATCTAGATATCAGCGTGAACTTTAAATGTGTTTGAGCATTATTGTTGATTTTCTTTGATTCCATAACTTTCTTCCTGCATAAACTACATTGTTTTTCTTTTTTGTTTATCAGTGTCTACCAGACATTCTAACAAGACCAAAATCGAAAAGCTGGAAAGGTGATTTATCAAAGCCAAGTAAAGGTAATTCAATTAATATATAATTGAAAATTTAAAAACATATCTAAGTAAACAATAAACGAGTCGACAAGATTTGAAAAGCGTACGCATTATAAAACTCGACCTTAGACCTTCTTAATGGTAATCCCGCTCAATCGAAGTATTAATCTTTGCGATAAGAGGAAATTCGCGTCTTTTGGAAGCTTATAATGTGATATGAATCATGTTTAGAATTGTTTAATTTTGTTTTTGAAAGTTTGGAGCAAAAACACTGCAAATCGAGCTTCTGGAACACTTTCCTCAAATATCCTCATCTTAATGTGCGCGGCAGGGAAATTTTGRAAATTAAAGCGCCGCGCAACTTTGAAAAAAAAATCGACTATTGTTAAGTGATCTACGTGACTTATGTGGATGATGTATCCCGTTATGTCCAAACATCTCTGCTGCTTGAATGGGTTATAGGTCGAAAATGTCGAATATGCTAATATGGGCATGCGTGATACATTAAAATATATGGGTATACGTATTTGGCCTGACACCAATTACCTTGAACTATGCACTGAAACCCATCTAACATGCATGTGACGTCAATGTAGCTCCATCTCGGTAAAAAAGTTTTTCTGTACTGTCTTGGAGAGAAGGTTTGATTGTCTCAAAGATGGAGCTGCGCGTCGACGAAAGTTCRAGGGATCTTAGTCWAGGCAGGTTGTGGGACAATGAGGAATCTGGTAAAAAGAAGAAGCATAAATCCAAACTTTATGTTCTAGATAGCATTCCTGAGGACTTAAACACGAGTTGCGCTAAATTAACAAGTCATYGAAGTTGCATGTTGCATAACAGAAGTTGCATAATAGTCAACTTTCTATATTCTGGTGGAATAGTCATGCGCAAAAGAAGTKTCGACGAGGCTCAACGGGATGTAGAGGATTATCAATTATTTCCCCGGAACCTCGTCTTTCTTCTTTTGTTTGCGTCTAGTCAACCAGAATATCGAAAGTGCGCTGTTGAACACATTCTGAACACCAGTGTATAGTCTTAATACAGYAACTGAGCATGCTCACGTCGTATCTTCCAGCGCAAGAAAATATCCAGTACCGTAAAAGTATTTCATTTAGCCCGACCGTTGAATACCAAGGCAATGAAGACTCAAGTTCCGTWCCACGTGTCAAGCGCCATGGCTCATTAGCAAACTCACTAACAAACAAGGCCGCACGCGTCAGATCCAAGTTRGCSACGTCCTTCTTCAAGAAAGGTCAGTCTTTGTGTTCTAAGATTTGTAATGAAACCAAGCTTGTAATTCCTTTAAAAACGTAATCCGATCGATTCATCTGCAAAAAATGAGCTTATAGATGAAAGGGCTAGTAAAGGACAGACAGAGATAAGATATATAGATCAAAGCTGTGCTCTATCGGTGATATAACCCCGTTTAACTTAAGAATAGCACTAGATTGCAAACACTGAAGATCAAGCTCCAAATAAATGAAAAACTTTAGTAATTGAATAGGGCTATATTATCCTGAATTGCGGGAATGCATTTGTTTTCTATTGTCTAATTTACTCTAAAATTGCATTATTTAGCTTTATTTAATTAGTACTTTTTCACGCTTTAGTGTTTGCACTCTAGCTACTCGTTTAAATCCACAAATATGATTGTTACTATGATATCCGTATTCAAACAGATTCTTCTTTTCTAATCAGGTAAAAAAGATGATAAGTCAAACCAAGAAAGCAGTTCCCAAAGTACAACATTCTCAGGTTACCTTTTGCGCAAGAAGGGCAGCGTGTGGAAAAATCGATGGTGTGTTGTCAAAGACAACTCTCTTTACTGCTACAAAGACTTTGGTGCCAGTTTGCCTGAACTGGAACTTACCCTAGAAGGATGCCGCGTAAAATCGTTACCTGAAGGGGAGGGGGAGAAGCCTTATTCGTTTGTTTTGATGGCAGAAAAGGAGCAGTTGCTGTTTTCTGCGGAGAATGACGCTGAACTGGAGGATTGGTTGGAGGTTCTGGAGAAGGAAGTGGGAACTGGTGACGACGACGAAATAGATAGTAAGTATCCATTGGTTAAAGTTTTTTCTTTTCTTTTCTTTTATAAATTGTATAATACCGATATAAAAATCATATAGATCCGTGAAAATATTGAAAATAAAAGCTTAAGGTCAATGGTCTCTTATAGCGTTTATTTAATTAAGAAGTGCGAAGAAATCGATGTTACTGTTACGTAGTTGCGGTTGTCTCAGGGGCTCTTGGTAGGGACACGTTTTGAAATGGGGCACGTACGTGTAGGGAGAATGTGTTCAAAGTTCAAAGTATAAAAAAATGATCCAGTATGGCGTCTTGTCTCACGGGGTCTTATTGCCAGAAATGAAAGAATGTTCAGTTTCCTCTTTTAAATATATGTTGTTGTTTTTTTAGTTGAGATAACTAGTATCGTGTACAAAATATAAGTTAAAATAATAGCGCTAACGTTAGGTTATTTAGTTTACCCATTAGACAAAACCAGCCCTTGTACAGACACATTAATATCACGTGACAACGAGCCAAATGAGCTAGCAGCTGACACAAACTTCACAGATAAGGACGTCAAAGAATTRCCGAAAGCAATGAAGGAAAAGGAATTAAATAAAGGGAATAAAGAGAAAGAAAAAGACACGGGTAAACGATCTACCTTACTTGGAGCTATTGCACATAAACTTGGCAAGCATTCTTCGAAGTATAAGGAGACTCATGACGACAAACTGGATGGGATAAGAAAACAAATAGATGAACTTGACATAAATACTGAGCAAATCACAGGTATTAATATATTCAATGTATTTGTTGTTGTTCCTGTTGTTGTTTTTCGTGTTGCTTTTCGTGTTTTTGTTTTTGTTGTTGTTGTTCTTGTTGTTGTTGTTCTTCTTGTTCTTCTTGTTCTTGTTCTTGTTCTTGTTCTTTTTCTTCTTCTTCTTCTTCTTTCTCTTTTTTGTCCACACCATCTTATCGTTTCCTTGTCTCTCTCACATCGTTTTCTTGTTCTTCTCTCGTTCCCTGGCCCATTTTGCATATTTGTTTATCACATTGAAATATTCTTTTGATCGCAGAAAATCGAAATTCACTCGAAGAAAGCGGTCCTTCAAAGGAGGGAGTAATATATTGTCAGTATGGAGACAAATATGTTGAATGCAAGGTACGATATTGAATTCTTTTGAATAGGTCGCTTGAGTACCTCTTTGGGTACCTTTTTGATGTTTATACTAACATTATTTGTTTCATTTTTCAGTTAAGACTTTGCAATCACAGGCTTGAGGTTGAACCTCAGGAGCAATCAGTGGACCAAACATTTCAGCCGACCCAGTTTAGACTGATTAACTGTATAGTACTTGACTGCAGTGACAGTGAAGGACCGCTGGCCATGGTCGTTAAAAGAAATATTGGAGAACCTCTATATCTGCGGGCTCAGTCGTTAGAAGGTGATTATTCAACATAGACGCTGATAACCTATATATAACTGAAACCAAGAGGCTTTTATACCTTATAATGCATAAAACTCGATAATATTGAAAACTGCATAACACTGTCACTGTAGATGATTTAAGAGCACATTTTCCTCTGCTCTCATTTTTGAGAATCGACCACGTGACGCGATAGTGCCCGCCACGTAGGGTTTACTATCTTCGCATAGAGCCCGCCCCATCCGAAAGTTCTTGAATATGAAAACAGTAAATATCGGGCATTTTGCTGTGATAGTTGCCCTTAGGAACTCTATGTTCCTCAAAACCTCCATGATCAGCTACTCTATTATTTAGATATATTATGTCTTTTATACCATAGCATCTTTGGTAGAGTCATCAATGTCGCCATTATACATCTTTATCGAGAGAGCTTCTGGCATTCACATCAGAATATAGTCATTATTTCGCACTTTTGTAATATTTGCATACTAAAATATAACCAGAAATCGATCAGCACATTTGCTAGACAGGGCAAATTGAATCTGTTTTTTTCTTTTTTTAACAGTTTACAGTTTTTAATTTTGTTTTTGTTTCTTATCATATAGAATTTCAAACGTGGAAAGACGCCATCGAAGCTGCAAGTCTTACGACCCCRTCTTCCACTGAGCGTCTTTTATCAAATAGTTCCAGCAATAAAGAATACAGTAAAGATGACATTCCAAACCGTTTTAAAATATCTGGCGATTCGATAGACGGAGACGATGTTTTTCACAGAGATTCAGCACCTGATCTTCACCCACCACAGAAAACAGTAACATGTAACAAACGAGATGAAAAAGCAGATCCTAAGCTGAGCCATATAAGACGAGCTTATTCCGCTGGTGGAATTGATAGGATACGGTCTTTGCATCAAGGCTATTTGGTACGCAGTTTATTTATTTTTTTGTCTAATAGTCTCCTTCACGATTCCCTTTGCCATATTGAAAGCTGTGTCTTTGCATCCGGATATTGATAGAAACCTCTTTCACACTTCCAGACAATWRTTCACAGGTATCTATCATTGCACACTCAGTGGTCGCTTTGATGCAAAGGCACGGCTACCTTTAATCTCAAGATTGCGCAGGAAACCTTGAGAGAGACKCTATCTTGTTTTGCTGTTGCTTCTGGACAAACTCAGAAAGCCAGAATTATGTAATTCAAGTATAAATTTCTTTCTTAGGTCTACTCGAAGAAAAAGCAAAGTCCACTTCGCCGTACATTTTCCAATGTCATGAGTAGTTTAGATCTAGCTCCTAAACAAAAACGTAGCAAAACCTTTGCAGGCCTTGGTATCAACGCTGCTCTTCTCATTGGTATTAAGTATTCGTCRTCAGTGTATCTCCGAGTCACCAAGGAATTGTGGGTGCAACGGTGGTGTGTTATTCAGGACAACAATCTCCACTTCTTCTTGAATCCTGATGATTTGACACCAAAAATAAGCATTCAGCTGGCAGGATGTTCAGTGGAGCCAGCCAACGTTAAAGGAAAGAACTTTACGTTTAAATTGTCGTTACCATCAGAGAAAACAGATTTTTACTTTGCAGTCGACAGTGAGCAAGAGCGCTWTGAATGGATGGAGCTGTTGCGATTGGAGGGGCAAAGGTTGGTATAGTGAACATTTTATATTTAGATGACTTCTTACTATATTCTTTTCGTTTCTCTTCCTGTCTTTTTCTTTATTCCTTATAATTTAGTGTATGCTTGTCATTCATTCATCAGAGTGATGGATTAAACTGAACTCTTTGTTGAGATATCTTGCTCGTCTCTCGTGAAAAAAAAAACAAACATTTAAAACTTAATCTATCTGAACTACTTCGTAAGTATTCATCTTGGAAATTTCTTTTAGAACCAAAAATGAGAGCGACGCAGATCATCTAAATGGCTTTCTTTTATCTAAAGTGAAAAGTGARAGTAACATTGGGCCGACGATGATCACCAATAGTGTTTCAGAGTCCAACCACGAGGGAAAAGGGTTGCATAGTATGTCACAATCACTAATGGAACTGCGTAAAATCGGTCAACAAGGCAAAGAAAATTCAAACGACAAAAAYGGAGATTCAATCAAATCTTCTGGTGTCATTACCCAAAGGCCGACATCTCTGCAAGAAGTTCTTCAACTTCTTCAAGAACAGCARCTCATGCAGAGCATGGGACACCAAAGATATGTACGYGTGAAAAAAGCCCGTGGAAAYTGGAAGAAATCTGCTGCAGCTGTTCTCAAAGACGCACACTCCAATCCAGAATCCCCCGAAGCACCAAGGAAAGGAATYTTAAAATCAAACGAGGAAAATCGAGAGATCGCTGAACCTGAATTGACTGGAAAGCCACGAGGCGCATCAACAGGTTCAGTACAMTCCAATGAGCTTAATGAAGCCTTCTCGAATTTTGAAACCTCAGAAGAATATTTAGGTAAACGAGCAGARGAGGAAAARCTCAAGGCKGTTAAAACAGARACTCTGCTRCGAAAGCGTAGAAAYTCTTTAAACTTGGAGAAAGAGGTTTTGGAGAAAAAACTGGGAAAAGAAGAAAAAAGAGATAAGAAAACTGGAGTGAAGAAACTTTTAGGAAAAGAGTGTCCAAAAGATAACGAAGAGATCATCCGAACTAAGAAAAGACTGGATGAGATTAATTTAAAACTGGCAGACGTTGATCATGACATGCAGGAAAATAAAACAAAGGAAGCAGCCGTTATGGAGAACATTACAGTATTAAAAACAAGAACGCTACGGAAAGGATCAACATCAGGAGAAAACTTGATGGCAGAYCAAGCTTTTCGGTAAGAGTTTACTGGTTATTAACTATGTAATATAAAAAGTAAATTCCATACGTTTCTTGTATATATCAAGAAATAATAATGTTGACATTTCCGTCTTGTATAATTTCAGATCAATGCTCGACGAAAAAAGATCAAARTATCGTGATTCTCCGACGGGATCAACGTCTTCGAGAGACTCATTTGAAGACAAAWCCGACGTYTACCGACCAGCTGAACGATCATCCTCCCTTCACCGAAARGGCTCCAGGAATAAAACCAGCCAAGCATCATTGAAAGCTTTGGAAGAAGAATTACTTAAGATTTCTCCGCAACCTCCAAGAAAGAAGAAACACAGTATGGTAAAGCGAGTTTCATCGTCMTCTGAAGGATCAATCGAAGATTTTTCTCACAGAATATCRCCTTCGAACAATCGTCGTGCTTCTAATGAACCTTCCACAAATAATGCTCTGTCTCAGTCACATGATAAGCTGTATGGCTGGGATAGTCTTGATGTTRGAAAGGCMAAGSTGACTGGTTCGCCACAGACATCGACTAAAGGGGAGTTACGMCCTGGTGTGTTACCAAGCTCCAGTGGGRCCACTCTTGACGTTGTKGATGGCTCATCTGAKTCTCATTACCCGAACGCTGGAGAGCACAGACCAAGTTTGATCACAGCTTTATCTCAAATTAAGGTAAGGAGGACAGACATTGTTACTGGGGGAAATTAGATACCTTGTATTTAAATAAGCTTTCAAGTTAGTACTAGTCAACAAACACCAAGGAATTCTCTATATAGAAAATGCATAAACTTTCAATTGCAAACGTCAGTATTTGAACACAATTCCTTTTGCAAGTTCATMAAAATGACTTGTTGCTGGCATGGTCTATAATGAACCTCGCAACCAGAGCTGCAATTCTTAGAAATGTGACAAGAAGCTAAGCAACTCTAAGGAAAGGGAATTTTTAATGATTACTGATTGGCTGTTTACTGACCAATCAAAAAACTGAAGGAAATGGTGTGCGAAATCTGATTGGTGAARCTTTKTTTGAAAAATCAACGCCCYTGTTTAATTGTTAATCTTTCTCTTTGCAGGATTTCGAGGAGTTTCTTGAGATCAACCGCCGGCGATGAAAGAGTTTATAACTAAAGTCATCTCACAGAGAATATATTTTATACATAAATGAATATATTTTATATTATAAATATGATTATTGATTTTCTGATAATCGATGTATTTCATATATTTATGATCTGTATAATATGGGAATTCTATCCCTATGATAATGTTGATACTAATCTATTGCTCTTTTTACACTCGTTTTTTTCATCAAATATAAGTTATCGTCATAAAGCATGTGTACTTCGGAAAATTAYAGCAAAAACATTTGCAACGCACCCTATAAATTTGGATTTTGTGTTTTGCTGCGAATCGAGGTGGAGTTTCAACCGATCAATCAGCTTCTTTTTAATACAAAATTCATCAGTAAAAAAAGATTTGTATGCAAATATATATGAATTAATGTGGTTTGAAAGCGTTTTTAAACTAATTCGCCAAAACAAACAAAATCCACCAAACGAATGTCAAAACCTCKTGGTCGTAATGCAACTTAGGGTTTTCGCTGTAATCCTAAACGTCATCTGAAACGTTAGAACCGTTTAAGTAATTTTTGTGTCTTCGTCATCGGTTCTTATCTGTCATCTTTTCTTACTTATATAAATCCAGAATCCTTATCAAAATATTTTTGAACATATTACCAATATTTTCAAGGATTGCGCATTATATTGTGTTCTACAAACAATATTTTTTAGCACACCTTGTTTTAAAGGTCAACACTCAATCACTTTTATGTACTTATATGGTCAGTGTATCATTGTATTCGGCTGTAAATTTATTGTACAATTGRAGAAAATTATATCATATCGCCTATAGAATTATACTTTGCTATAATCAATGAATAAATGTAATAAAACAAGTTCTGTTGACAAGAGAGTCTGTTGTCAATTGARGCAGCGGTCACTAACTTTGAGCAGGACGCGGGCATATTGAAATCAAGATGGCGGTTGTAATTGTAATGAAGTCTATCCCTTTTCTAGTATTGGTAGTTTATTAAAGCTTGTAAGTATCCGGCTGCAACCACATGATCAAGAATTCCTCGAGAAATAAACTATCGCCGCCATGTTGGATAAATGGACAATCGAAACTCATGAGGAGGAATGCTTTGGAATCTTCTTCCAACATGGCGTCTGTGACCTAACGTGTAATCTGAGATATATACGAGATATAGATTTATATATAGAATATTCGTGTTAGTTAATATATTTCTTCCGTGGAATAATGAATCTGCGATGCGAATAGACAATACCAGCTCCTTGCTGACATTCATGTTTTTTCAAAGGTATCCAATTCGCGATGACAAAATGACCGCCTCAGTGCCAATTGAACGAACACCTTGTTGAGTTCTTTATTATCATTCGAAGTTCGTATCGCAAGTCGTCTTTATCGTATCAATGAAAGGACACATATTCACAAGGATTTTTTATTTCATATGCAGAATTTCATGYCATTASATATCAACAATTTGGCATAACGCCTTTCTTGGATTTAAACATCTTTACAAGCTCCTTTGCCACYTTCTTAGTGATATCGGCAAAATCTTTATATATTTTAGCCTTRCATTTTTTCCCAGGTTTCTCGTAACAGTCGAGAAAGTTCGACACACCAATGCACATCCTGGGATCTGATCTCAAATCCGTGGCCATTTTTCGGCTGCAATCTTTGTGAATGGTTTCAGCACAGCCTTCAAAGATATCACCTTTATCTGGAAATTAATTGAGCAGAATCTTTGTGTTTTGGTAACAGTGACATCAGTTATTTGTAATTAAATAGGTGAGCAAGTCATTTGAGATACCAATAAAGGGTCCCATTTCATCTTTTCGCCATTCCTCCTGATAGACATTTATATAATAGCTATTAATCCAGGGTCGGATCCAAGATTTTCCTCAGGGAGGGGTGCGGGCCTCTCAGGAGGGGGTCTACCCCACAAAAATCATTACCATGATACAAAATAAGGAAAGTATTGAAAGAAATAGATCTCAGGAGAGGGTGCGCACCCCCTGCACCCTCCAGCTGGATCCGCCTCTAATCATATGAGGAAGTAGCTGATATCCCATTAAAGAGTGTAGAGCTAATTAAATATATAATATCGAGGAGGCAAGATTTGCTGTTACTCTCGTGTTTTGGAAACTCGGAGTAACAGCAAATCTTGCTTCCTCGTTATTATATATACACCTATTTCAAAAAACATTGTCGGGGAGAATGGCAATCGGCGATTGTCGAAGGGAGATTGCAAGACCGAAAGGAACTATAGTTACACTGTTTTGATAGACAAGATTTCACTTATTGGATTCATCTTTATAGAAATGGAGATTAAATGGAGCCAATGTTTATCACAGACCACCTTACAGTACAAATCAGTTGTTATTGCCTTTCAACTAGCAAAACCCATGACTACTTTCGGTCGTGCAATTGCCGTTCGACCATTGACATTCGCCAATTTATCCGACAACCTTTTTTGAAATAGCTATATAATAGCTATTATAAATTAACATACATACCAGCACTAAGTTTGAGTACTTTTTCAAACTCTTTCCTGTACTTCTTGTGTGCTGAAAAATAAATTAATTTATAAAACAGTTAAATGGGAAGATTCAAAAAAATACGCCATGTTGCTTATTAAACAAAAAGTCGATTGATCAATGCATACATCATTTTTGATCATTCCACGAAATATTTTCTTTGGGCGATTGATTTACGTCTACTTAGCCACTCATCTAGTCAAATGATTTTAAGAATCAATAGGCCAACTAACTAATAAGCTCTCATTCAGGATAGACCGATCTTTCTAGCAAAAAATAAAATAAAACACTAGCAGCACAATATTTCTTTATTGTTTTGTCATGTGACAACCGAATAAAGGGAAGACTCCTGTGAATCAATCAACCAATCAAAAAGCTTAAAACGTTAAAAAAACTTACCATTGAC